TCCATAGAGTGAGGAGACTCTCTGAGACTCCTGTTTATTTATTTATTTTGTTTGTACATGTGCACAGTACACTGACTGTGGCCAGTCAGCTTGGAGTTAGTCCCTGAAGTTAGGAGACTCTCTTAATTCACTGTTTTCGTTTTGTTTTCTTCTCTTTTTCTTACACTGGCACTGCACCCAAAGGGGACTCGGTAGTCATGCTTATATTTTCCCCAAGACTCCTGTTTTTATCTGTCAGCCAGGGCTCCCTGATTGGCTCACGTTAACAACCCAAATCTGGGATCTCATACTCTGAGATTCACCTGGTCCTCAGTCCAATCACTACATTGTACCCAAAACGTCAGCTTTCCTGCGATGCTGCCTGGCCTGCTGTGTTTGTCCAGCTCTACACCTTGTTACTACATTGTACCAATAGCCTTTTAGCAGAACTGCCTGTTGCCACTGACTGAATTCTACATATCAAATTCTCTCTTGGATTTTCCTTGCAGTTTCTCCTCTTGTAGTGTTGCACCGCGGACAGAGGCTCTCTTTACTTGTAGAAATGCCTCGGTTGGTAACCTTTTGTCTCTGAATTACAAGGTTTTTGTTGCAGTACCCACCCCAGGGCTTGAGTGCTAAGTTAAAGCTGATACTCCTGTGCAGTACTGAATGAGTGCTTCACTGTTGGTGCTGCCAGCTTTTTGGATAAGACACATACGGAAGCACTATCTGACTGCTCGTATAGATTAAGATATTCCTTAACACTGTTTTGAAGGAGAGAGTTATCCCCAGTGCTCTGGCCAGTATTTCCCCTCAATCAACACGATAAAAGAGATTATCACATGGGTGCTTGTGGGAGATTGCTGTGCACACGTTGCCTGCTGTCTTTCTTACCTTATTTCAAAAAGCACTTTCAGTACTGGTCTTGCTGGTGATGAACAACACTGTAAATGCAAGTCATTTTCTTCCAACGTTGTAGTGACAGATTGGAGAAACTCACAAAACATGCTGACACCCCATGCCAATTCAGGATATTGTAGCATTGGTAAAGTTTTTGGGGAGCCCATTTTCTAATGATGTTCATTTTACTCTGACAACCATGGTCTTGGTGATGTCTTCTAGTGACATAATGAAGTGTAACAGATTGAAAGCCTTACAGCCTGAAACTGCCTCTTTCTAGTTTTGTATCCATGGTTGTGTCCTCAAAGAGGCTTCTCCCTCATTTCAAATTAATGTTGCGCCCTCTATAGCTATCTCCCACTCTCTCTTTTTACATTTATGCACCTCCAGTGTTGGAGGGCAGCGTCTTTTCACATTCATATATTGATTCAATTCATTAACAATTATTTACGATATATATTAATGACTTGTTAGAGGGAAGTGAATGTACAATTGCCAGAGATAGTAGGAACTGCAGATGCTGAAGAATCCGAG